AAGGTCATCTTTGACTATAAAAATCTTGGGTTATCAAGTGAATTCAAGGCCTGATTGGGCTGTGTAACACAGTATTTTTTAAAAGAGAGAGAGAGAGAGAGAGAGAGAGAGAGAGAGAGAGAGAGAGAGAGAGAAAGGGAGGGAGGGAGGGAGGGAGGGAGGGAGGGAGGGAGGGAGGGAGGGCGGGCGGCGGGCTGGGGAGATGTCTCAGTTTACTGGCAAGTGTGACAAACAGTTCTTTCTTCAGAATTCTCTCAGAATACCCAGCACAGTGGTGAGCCCTTGCAATGCCAGCACTGGGAAGCTGGGACTATATAGACAGGAGGATTCATCAGGTTCAATGACCAGCCCCCCTAGCATAATTGGTGATCTTTTGCTCGGCATGGTGACATACACCTTTAATCCCAGCACTTGGGAGGCAGAGGCAGGCAGATCTCCAAGTTTGAAGCTAGCCTGGTCTACAGAGTGAGTTCCAGGACAGCCAGGGCTACACAGAGAAACCCTGTCTCGAAAAAACAAAACAAAAACAAACAACAACAGCAAACTAAAAAAGAAAGACCCTACCTTAAAGGAGGTGGAGAGTGTTCCTGAAGATGACACCCAAAGTTACCCTCTGGCCTCCATACACATGTACACCAGCACACACACACACACACACACACGAACACACACACACACACACACACACACACACACCACACAAACACCCTGAAAGTTTGCTGAGGGTAGCGAACTTGCTCTTCCTTCCTATCATTGTGATACCTAATAGGATAGCTAGCAAAACAGTATTTACTGAATGAATGCCAAACAGAACAATGAATGAACGGAGCATGGAAGGCTTGGAAAGGGAGTGCTCAAAAAACTCTTAACGTCAAGGTTGCATCCTAGCTCTGAGCTGTCCATCTTCGTTTTTTTTATTTTGTTTTATACAGAAGTAGCTGACTTCTAAAGGGTCCTTTCTGCCCTGGGAGTCTTTTGTGGTCTCATTGATGAGACAGGATAGAAGACAGGGAAAATTAAGGGACATGAGAAGGCAAAAAATGACCCTTTCTCTGCAACCTAATTTGTTTTTCTTGTTGATGAGCAGTCAAGATAGAATTGCCTGCGGAGATAATGCAGGTTTTCCTAAAGACGTCTCAAACAAGGATATTAAAAACAACAAATGAGCTGTATTCAGAATATTTGTAACCTCGAATCTTCCTGTATTAGCGCTCTTCCCATCCCTAAATTTAAACGGTATACTTCATTAGGCCACCTTACAATTTTATTTGTAAAATAAAATTCTTTTTTTAAAATGTATTTGCATTTTTATGTGTGTGTGCACGCGTGTGCACGTGCGCGTGCGGGTGCGCGTGCCCCCACCACACAGGTGCCTGTGGAAGCAAAGGAAGGTGCTGAATCCCTGGGCCTAGAGTTAATTTTCCCAGCTCAGCTCGTGTGTTCCATTTAGCACATGTAGGAATTGAGTCACAGAGAATTAGACTGCTTTGCTAAGTCACGAGGTTTGTACGTTGACTGGAGCTGGGTCTTCAATTTTCCCGTATTTGACAACTGAGTTCTTGTTTGTAATCACTCCCTCTCAGAGAATTCCAAAGCCATATGATACGGGCTGTCTAATTTTATAGGGATGATGAACTTCCAGAAAAGCTTCCCAGTTGAAGTGGCTTGAGCCGTCTTGGAAGACAAGGAGGGTGTGTTCTGGTACCTTGCATGAGACTTTGCATATATAAGTTCTATAAAATGAGGAGAAGGAGATAGCTTATGTATCTGGAAGGGACTATTTTCCTGCCTTTGTGGAGCCCAGGGTGTTTCCTACTGAGATATCCTTTTTGTGATTTAGCAATAGCCTATTGAGTAATCAGATCATTTGTGTATTATATCATGGATGCACACAACAGTCTGGCAAGGGAAGAAGTACAGGAATTAACCTCAAACAGCAAAGTGAGGAAATCAGGGCTGTGTGTGTGTGTGTGTGTGTGTGTGTGTGTGTGTGTGTGTGTGTGTGTGATGACTCCTTTAAGGCCACAAGTGGTGCGTAAGTGGCAGAACAAGATAAGGAGTTAGTGGTGTCCTGTCCTCAGGAGGAAGAGACAGGCTCCTCTGAGGATCCAGGCCAGGCTCTGCTCTGCCCAACTCTGCACATGTGCTGCCGTGGGTCCTTCCCTCCAGAACAAACTCCTCCGCACATTCAGAGCCAGTTTTAAGTCCCACTTCAAGGTCTAGTTAATTGTATATCTTTCATCCAAGCCTTTCCCACATTCTCTCAGCCCACTATCTAAGCATCAATCAAATCTCTTGGCCCCTTTTTTCAACCAGATTTCTGCCCTGAATACCTCCACTGCCTATGGTAATTTGATTTGTTGCTGTCATCCACTGTCCCACTTTGAAACTCCTATTGCCTATTTCTCCTTCTTCTCCTTTTTTCCTCCTCCTCCTCCTCCTCCTCCCTCTACTTCCTCTTCTTCTAAGTTTGCCTTTTTATTTTATTTAACTTTGTCTTAAAATCTTCCTTTATATGGGTATATCCTTTTAAAAGAATTTTTTGTTTTACTTTCTGGTTTTTTGAGACAGGGTTTTTCTGTGTAATAGTCCTGGAACTCACTCTATAGACCAGGCTAGCCTCGAACTCACAGAGATCTACCTGTCTCTGCCTCTCAACTGCTGGGATTAAAGGCATATGCCAATACCACCCAGCAAAGCATCATTCTTTATTTATATGTATGAGTGTTTTGCCTGCATGTATGTCTTTGCAGGGCATCAGATCACCTATATAGATGCTTATAATCAGCCAGGTGGGTTCAGATACTCAAATTGCCATCTTCTGGAAGAGCACCCAGCACTCTTAAACACAGAGCTATTTCTCCAGCCCTATATCTTGTCTCTCAATGGAATGTAAACTTCATGAGGCATACATTTCTTTGTGTGTGTATGTGTTTATGTGCACGAGAGTCAGATGTCAACGCTGGGTGTCTTCCTCACTTCCTTTCTACCTTAATTTTGAGACAGAGTCTTTGAACTTGGAGCTCACCAATTCAGTTAGACTGGCTGGACGGATAATTCTAGGAATCCTCCTGCCTCTGCGTCCCCACCACTGGGATTTTAAGTACATGCTCAGAATATGGTCTCAACTCTTCATGTTTTCCCATCAGTCTTTCATTGATTACCCACCCCCACCCCCCTCATCTTTAAGACAGGGACTCGAATATCCCAGGCTGGCCCAGAACTGTTTGTTTGTTTGTTTGTTTGTTTTTTGGGGTTTTTTTTTTTTTTTGAAACAGGGTTTCTCTCTGTAGCTTCGGAGCCTGTCCTGAAACTCGCTCTGTAGACCAGGCTGGCCTTGAAATCACAGAGGTCTGCCTGGCTCTGCCTCCTGAGTGTTGGGACTAAAGGTGTGCACCACCACCACCACCACCACCACCAGGCCCGGGACTGGTTTTATAGCCAAAGATTATCTTGAACTCCTGATCGTCCTGTCTCCACTCACGAGTGCAGGCATTAGACCCATGCATTACCATGCTTGGTTTAAAGGCATCCAGAGCTTTAAAAGAAAAACAAAAAAACCCAACTTTTTAAAAGGAGATTTATTTATTTTATGTCTGTGAGTGCTTTGCCTGCATGTATGTCAGTGCACCAAGTTTGTGCCTGGTGCCCTCAGAAATCAGAATAAGGCTTTGGATCTTTTGACACTGGACTTCTAGAGAGTTGTGAGCCACTACGTGGGTGCTAGGAACCAAATCCAGGTCCTCCTTATGAGCAGTGAGTGCTCTTAACTGCTGAATCATCCTTCCAGGCCCCATATAGTTCTTTTTGATTCTCGTGTTCACTTTGAGATCACAATACTTGTGACTCAAGAGTAGTTTTGTGGTCTCTCCACCTTCTGTTCAACTGGTCCTCTCCTAAATCAAGCAAAACAAACACGTTGCCAACTCATTTCTAAAGCTCCAGGGGAGTAGGGGCTGTGTGATGTTGGGATTCACACAGATGCATTCAGCAATTAATAATAACCAGCACTTAATGATATACTTACTAATTGCTGGGTTCTGTACAAAATACATCACATGTATTAACTCATTAGATTCTCTTATGGCAACTGTTATTATCCCCCAGAGCAGAGGAAGACACATAGAGGTCACTCAGCTAGTAGGTGAGGCAGCAAGGATTCAAACCTAGACTGAGTCATACTCTAATTATGACACTAAATTTTTTTTTATGGGTAACTAAAGGTCGCTGTGATGCCGATCAATTTCCTTTCTTTTGCTACTGGTCCGGATTAGGTATTTTGATAGGTACTCAACGCTTTACTCATGTAATTCTTGCAAATGAGTCTATGAAGCAGAAAGAATTTTAAAAGAAGTCGGCTCCTTGAAGTAGTTAGTCTCTCAAGTTTCAGTTCCGGTTATCAGAAGATCTGGAAATAGATCAGGTCTCCTGACTTTCAAGGAAAGTCTTCAAAGGAAACTGTTATAGGGAAAGCCCGGACAGGAACAAGTGACGAGCACGTGAGACGTTCGCGTAGCGCACAGTGAAGAACGGCGAGAGACAGTCAAAAAGCCTATTCTATTAACACCCACAGAGGAATTTGCTAATGAAATCAGGGAGCTGCCTGTCTCGGGCTTGGATTCAATGCGAGAACCTCTAGGGAGGAAGGGCACAGAGGGCAACCACCACCTGTGCTGGAGAACCGGGAACCAGCTCTGGAGATGGGCTCAGCCCCTGTTGCTTTCTCCACACGCTAATTGGCTACTTCTTTCCGGGCTCCGCCTCCTCTTCAAGTCTGGACCACTAGGCAGCAAATCTCCATCTACGACCTGGCTAGGGCTCCAATCAAGTGGCCAGCTCTCGAGTTCCTCCGAAGAAGCCCCCTTGACGCCGGCAAGCCCGCTTTCCTCTCGCCCTTGATTGGCCAGAAGCAGCATGAGGCCCGCCTCTCTCGCCTTTGGATTGGCCAGAGACTCCATCAGGCTCCGCCCCGTGTTCCCTCCGGCCGCCGGGCTTCGGCGAGCCTAGTTTTCTCCGCTGGCCCCGCCCTCGCGTGACGGCCGGACCGGGAATTGGCAGCGGCGCTGCAGCCATTTCCGGTTTCGGGGAGGTGGGTGCGGTGCGGAGCGGGAGTTGGCGCCGCAGCCGCCTCCAGAGCCTGCCCTGCTGCCGGGTGCTGCCGGGTGCTGCCGGGACGATGCGGCCGGAGCCCGGAGGCTGCTGCTGCCGCCGCCCGCTGCGGGCGAACGGCTGCGTGAAGAACGGGGAGGTGAGGAACGGGTACGTGAGGAGCAGCACCGCCACCGCCGCGGCTGCCGGCCAGGTACGACGGGATCAAGAAGCCGGGCGGGGCCGGGGCAGTGGGCCGGGACCCCGCGAGCCGAAGCCCGAGCCCGAGCCGGGCCGGGCCGGGCCGGACGGGCAGCCGCGCGGGCGGGTCTCAGCGGCCGGCTGGCGGCTAGGCGCGGCTCAGGTGCGCTGGCCCCCGGGACCCGGCATGGACTGGGCCTCCCCCTGAGCGGGAGGGAGACTCAAGGGCAGCGCGGGACTCAGCAACCATGTGGGGCTCCCCAGTTACTCGAGGCTCCCCAACCCTGCGGGTCTCCGCCTCCCCAGCGATGAGGGGCTCCTAACCATGCAGGACACACCAGATCTTCCCGGCTTCTTAGGTGTGCGGTGTTCCCGAGTTCTGCCCGGTTCCCCGGTCTCGACGGGCTCCACAGGCACGCGGGACTCCCTAAGTCTGCCCGGCTCCTCGGCTATGCGGAGCACCCCTTCCCTTTGCTGTTCTGAAAGGCTCTCCCGGTCTCTGGAAGCTGGGTTTCCTCTCTCAGTCTTTCCCATGTGGATCCTGTAAAAAGTGCAGGCCGCTCCCGATGGGAAGCAGAGGAACTCCCTCGGAGCCCGGCAGTACCTTCTCCAGGGTTCCTCCTCAGGTCCCCTCATGTACATGCTTCCTGTAGAGTCTTGCAGCCCCGAAAGTTATAGGCAGTGCGGTTGTGGAAGTACACCCGGGCAGCCTCTTCCTCCCACCTTCTGAACTTCCTCTACCAGGAAAACCTTGACTGTGGACTTGGCAGGGAACTCCCCTCGGGTGTCTTGAGAGTTGTCCTGTTATGCGATTGGTGAGACCCCATCCCACCATCCAGGTTAGTTAGATTCAGGTGGCCCCTTCCACCAAGCAATAGAGCTATTGTAGAGGGCATTGCTTAATCCAGTGGTAAATTGTCATGAGGCCTTATACTAATTAACTGAAGTTGAATCATCAACATATTCATGCAGTTCTAAAATACCTTACAGAGTTCTGACTCCTTGACAGTATTTGCTTGTTTTGAGACATGGTTTCTCTGTGTAACAGCCCTAGCTGCCCTGCCTTGTAGACCAGGCTGGCCTCGAACTCACAGAGATCCTCCAGCCTCTTCCTCCCAAGTGCTGGGATTAATGCCGGGTGCCCCACCCCGCCTGGTTTTCCTGACAGTATTTTTTAAACCAGCCTTTCATTTATTGCTACTGACTCCTCTGCTGAAACATGTTTTTAAGGAGGAACTTCTTCAAAAGATGCAAGACTTGACACTGCTGGAAAAGAGTGCTGTGATGATTTTAACATTTGTAAATCTTGTGTCAGGAAGAATAGTAGTTTTTAACCCCTTAGCAGGAGCGAGTGTGATTATTGCAGTTTTGATAGGATGATGACCCTGCTTTGGCATTAACATAGATACTAACCTGACCGCTGAATCAGTAGCTGTGATAGGCCTGTTAACACCGTGCTATGGAGGGGTTTTTTCCAGATCATGCTGAGTTACTGAGACTCTGGGGAAGAGCTGATGGAGGCTTGAGATGGGGAGTACATAGAAAAGACTTGACCTCCCTTGAATGTGTAAGGTGTTAAGATTCAAAAGATTGGTTTTCAAACAATGATTATGTGAGAGAGGGTGTGATAAAAGTCAGTTTGTGGTCTGGGCTTGGTGTGGCTGGCCTGTAATCCCAGCAGAAGCAGGTGGATCTCTGTGAGTTCAGTCTAGCCTGCTCTACATAGTGAGTTTGAGGACAGTTTTGGAGACATTGTCTCCCAAAAAAAGGGGGGGGGTGTTGATTTGTTATGAGCCGTGGAAGAATTTGCTGTTTTCCCTAGCAGTGTAAGATGGCTATGAGACAACATTGTAGTAGTATAGAGTGTGTCAGGGAAATTGAACAGTTGGAGCTAGAACATAATAGGTGAGGAAGAAGGAAGTCCAAAGCCAGTCACGTGTTAGAGATGCTTTCTGTCTGAATGTTCCTTTCAGTCACTAGATATTCTGACTAAATAGTAAATCAGATTCTGACCTCCTGGAATCCCAACAATTTAGCATTTGTAGGCATGGTATTTCTTCAGAGGTTGGCAACTGTTAAGATGAAGAAATCGCGAGTTATTAAAATGAAATATAAAAATCTGTGACTGCAGCAGGGTGTGGTGGCAAACACCTGTAATACTAGCATGTGGGAAGGAAGCTGAGGCTGGAAGAAGGAGTGTTCAAAGCCCCCCAAAAAAGTCTGTGCTTGTTCTATCTGCCTGGCTCGTTTAACCTACTTTATCGAACATTTTCACTCAAGGCACAGTGGCATTTGGAAGAATGTTCTAATGGAATGTTCTAAGGGCTGCAGTATCCTTTCTAGAAAACTATTTTTCACAAATAATTTTAAAGCTGAGGTATTTCATTTATGAGGAATAAGAAGAGCTCTATGTTTATGAGAAGAAGAGAACGTCTTAAAGTAGTTTTGAAGTTGGTTGTGTTAAATTTAAAAAAAAAATGTATGTGCTCTAATCCCTGCCTATCTTTCCTTGCATCCTGGGGTGGGGGCTGTTGGGAAATATTGCCAATTCTGTCTGAAAATAGACAGTAAGATACTAGGTATACAACTGTCATGCTTTCTTTAAAATACTTAATATCACATGGCTGAAACGTAAAAGGGTTTCCTCACATGTCATAACGTTTTTAATGAACTGGAGAGAAATTAGAAACTTGTAGACTTTCTTCCCTCAAGGGGAGGCAGCCACTTTCTGATATTTGTGTACACTCAACCGGATATGTTTGAAGAGAATTAATGCTTGTCTTAACAGCAACTCCTGGATGGGGCAGAGTTTGATAAGGAGATAATGTGGTAAGGAGGTATTACGAAACAGAGGTTACTAGTGTTCAATGAATGATGACAGTGGACAAGAGTTTTCACAAGCGCAGCAGTTGAACAATAAAGCACTAAATTTCCTCTGCCATTAAAGAAGTGGGAGGAGTGTCAGCCCTTATTGAAGGTGTAAAGGGTGATTTATAGACCGAGAACAATCTGCAGCCTTAGAATTGGAAAGAACCTTCAGGGTGTCTTTTTGTCTTTGTAATTCAATCCTTTTATTTCTGCAAGATTTTCTTAAAACCAATGTCTGTGTTTATGGGTTCTTTTGTTTGTTTTGAGTCTGCGACCTTTTTAGGTCAGACTGGACTTGAACTTGTTACCCTCCTGCATCCACTTCCCAGGTGCTGGGAATTCCCAGAGATTGACAGGATTCTTAGGGAAAAAAAAAAAAAAAGACTTTCAGAGGGTTTGCAGCAAATTTTCACAATCACATTGTTTAGTGATATTAATCACCAGGGATTAGTTTCTGTGGATTTAACAGTTGATTAATAAGCAAATGACATGGTTGTGTACGTTATCAGTACCTTTAAAAAAACATGTCTTTATAAAAGTTTAGATTTGGACTCAGATTTTGATTTTGTTTTGTTTTTCCAGACAGGGTTTCTCTGTGTAGCCCTGGTTGTCCTGGAACTCGCTCTGTAGCCCAGGCTGGCCTCAAATTCACAGAGATCCGACTGCCTCTGCCTCCTGAGTGCTGGGATTAAAGGTGGCACCTGGCAGATTTTGCTTTTTTAAAAAAAAAAAAAAAACAATATGAACCAGTATGAAAGAGGGGAAAGGATATTGTCATTGGGACAGCTTTGAACCTAACTTTCTTCCATCTGAGAGTAGTTTTGGTGAGAAATGTAGAGGGATGTAAGACTTCTAATTACCGGAATCAGTAGAGTTCGGTCACAAGGAAGCAGTAGGGCACACGTTCTGTTCAGTAGAAGTCAAGCATGGTAGAAACAAGAGTGATGTCAGAAAGAGGCCCACAAATAACTAAGGAAGGGTGATTTACTTCTAGCTTTTGTTCCCACTCAAGACAAACGGTGATTGGGGATTGGTTATGAGATAGTAGGAATAGTAGCCCTCATAACCATCATACATCCTGGGTTTGGCAGGGTAAGACACCTTAGGCTCTAGGCAGAAATAATGCTGTAACTAAGGAGAACTTGTGAGATAAGTTTTTTGTTTCAAAGGCATTTTGCCCTAAAGGGAAGAATATTTGGTTTTTATTAGCTGGGTCTGAGAGATTCCAGTCATTTGTGGGACTCAAGCCTCTTTAATAAGAATTTTTAGGCTGGGCTCTGGTGATGCACACGTTTAATCCCAGCACTTTGTGAGTTTGAGGCCAGCCTGGTCTACAGAGCCAGTTCCAGGACAGCCAGGGCTACACAGAGAAACCCTGTCTTGAAAAACAAAACAAAGAACAACAACACCAACAGAAGAATTCTTAGGAAATTATAAACTATTTGGTTCCTCAGATAGTATTTACAATGAGTGTTAGGGAGAACAGGCTTCCAGTTTGTTAGGTGGGCCCAGGTGCACTCCAAGCTTGTCATCCTCTCGGCAAGAGAGCTAATTGCCTGATTCGGTTATTGAAAGAAGCAGTGTTTATGTAGAATGGGCAATTGAGAGGGATGGGTAGAGGCAGTGTTTGCATGCAGAGTGGTTGTGCCTTACTTGATTAAAGAAATGGTTTGTGGCCACAAATCACTTGCCTCCTGAGTAGTTTCTAAGAAAGCTTCTATAATTTGTGATTTGTGAATAGTAAGATAGCCATTTGCTCTTGACTTGCTTAATCTCAGAAATTTTATTTTATATTTGTTATCTTTAATACTATTTTCAAGACCCTTAATGAAGTTGAGGCTGTTTTTCTTTTTTAAAAGATTGTTACTCTTGGTTGTAGAAATGGTGCATATTCACCGTAAGATCTCAAAGCATTGGAACAATTGTTTTGTGTTACAGTCAATTGATAGAAAAACACCAAAATTGTATCTATGTAATATTTTGATAAATGTATGCATGTGTACATTGTGTAATGTCTAAGTCGTGTCAACATATCTAGCTCTTAAATCATTGATCATTTCTTTAAGGTGAACATTTCGAACAGGCTTAAAGTTGCTATGTAGTCAAAGATGACCTTGAACTTCTGATCCTCCTGTTTCTGTCTCC